TGTTTAATCACTCTGATAATAGAAAATTGATTTTTTTTTTACTCCTTCAGAGCCTTAATTCAATAACTTTCTAAATTTATTCTGTGCTATTGTTATAAACAGAACTAATACAACTCTACTTTAACCCCTATCGCTTTTGTTGATAAACAAAAGAACAAAAAGTAAGTCGGTTTTGTGTTCTTTTCTATCAGCTTGTCTTAACTTAAAACTGTGTTTAAATTAACATATGTAAGTTGTTGAAAAAGATAGCTAAAAAATTTACTATTTTAAAAATCTTAGTCATTAGCCGACAATTTGTACTAATGCACCGTTTCATAATTTACATACGTTTGCAAAATTGATTATAATAGAGAAAGTGTAGCCCATCCTTGATAACTTTTTATTCTAATTTTTTATGGTACATGTTTTTTTTTTGTTTTTTGTATAATTTAGTTTTAGTATCTATTTTTTAAGAAATCACAATCATTCAGTGACATTTTTCATTTTATCTTTTGCATATCTTCTTTTCTAAATTTTATTTATGTACGTTTAAAAAAGTAACTACTATAATGATAGTGGAATTGTGTATCCATCTTAATATTTATTTTCATATGAATATTTTTTAAATCCTAACTATTCAGCGACAATTTTCTTCTTTGATAACGCATTATTCCGTTTTAATGTTAGACACCTGTTTTGAATAACGTCTTTTCAAAATTTTGATTCTGTTTTACTGTTGTTTACAAAAATAACATGATGAGAGTCAAATTGTAGTCTCTCTTTATGAGTTGTTCTAATTTTTTTTTAGATTACTTGTTATTTTATTATTTAAATTTATGTTGTGCCTTAGAAACAAACCATGAATGTGGTTGTATAATTTTTGTTCATAGATTATTAGAAGTTTATGTCAATTATCTGCTCCTGTAAAAAGCTGCTTCTGGCATGAAAATACCCGATTTTTTGCACCATTTGTTTTCAAGTAATGCATTTTTAAAAATTTCTTTAATGTTTATATTTTATGTTATATATTATGTTTATATTATGTTTAATGTTATATATTATGTTTATATAATGTTTAATGTTTATATTATGTTTAATGTTATATATTATGTTTATATTAAAATCTTTTACACCTTCAAAGCTATATTTTCTGTCCTCGAGTTCACTTTTATAGTTTCTTCAGAAGTTCCTAACATTTTAATTTTTCTTTTAATCTATTATATATTTTGTAAAATTATATTAAAAATTTACCTCTTTATGGTAAATAGTTCTCAAGTTTTAATTATTTAAAAATTATAATGCTGTGAAAAATTTCTGAATGTCCTGAAATACTTAACTTGGAAACAAATGGTGTGAAAAGAGTGAATCTTGGTAATTTTCTTCCATTCTCCTCCACCTATGAGCCAAAACTAAACAACACAAATACCTAACATTTTATCCAATGGCTGATTTGATGTGATGTAGAGACTAATAAGAAATGAATGTACTAAATATCTTTATTAAATAATATATTGTTATCAAATATTTAATTTTATTTTTCATTTTAGGTTGAAATCTTCATATGGATGAAAATACAAACAATGATCAGAATACCTTCTATGAAGTTCATCTAAGAAAAACTGTTGAAGAAAGAACAATTACAGAATTTCCTAGGGTAAACAAAATTGTGGGCTTATTTTATAGAAATTTATACTGCATAAAACAATGATTAAAAAAATGTCAATATTCTTGAAGGGAGAGGCTTAAAATTTTCGAATGAGTATGGATGAATGAATTTCCCAAGGAATTCTTGAATGAGGACTCATTCCTGAATCCTTCATTCCATAATTTAGGAGAACACCTATAATGGAGTATTACTTTTTGATGTAACTTTTTGATGTTTTGATTACTTTTGATGTTCTCCATTGAAATCTATGGAGATAATTGTAACTGCTGTTATTTAAAAAATGCACCATTGGAGTCTCATATTAAGAGGCCATCACTAAAAATCTTTGGCGATAATTTATTTATATATCTTTAAAAGTGAGAACTTTTTAACTTAAATAAGCATATAAAAGTATTTTGATCTATCTTATTTTGCAATTTTTATGAATATAGGGTAGAGACCACTGCTTTCAGCAGTTAGGCTTAGATTATTAGATCTATCCCTTTAATTGAAATAGAAAACAAATATTTCAAATTTTCATTCACAAAAATAAATTAAAAATCCAAATTTTATTATTATTAAGAAAGAATTATTTTTTAGATGTCACTAGCTGAGAACTGTGTAGAGTTCTAGAAAAGCAGAGCCTTGAAAAAAATGTCCTGTTTGCTTCCTCCCTTATAATGACCATTGTATTATAGTAGTAAAGAATTAATGATAAAATAATTTTCAGCAACTTTTCATATTAGTTGTCAATAGTGATTTGATTCACAAAAACATGTCATTGTTATTTATTGATTAATGTTTTAAAATTTTACTTATTGCTTTTTAGCCATACAACTATGATTGTTCACCACATGGAGAAATGAACTTTTCCTACCGGATTCACAGTGCTTGCCATAAAATAAATATTTCAAAATGTGAAATGTAAGATTATTTCTCTCTCTCATTTTTATGGTATTTTTCTTATTAAAGTAATTTTAAATGAATAATTGCAGGGCTGATTGTGCTCCGGAAAGAATCCGGATTTCCGCAATTTTCGCTAACAGTGATCCGGAAGTTTCCGGAGATCGAAGGTCCAGACGTTTAAAAAAATCATTGATCACAGAAGTTTCCGGAAATCAAATTTTCAAATGTGGAACTTAAAAACACTGTTTATTTTATTTGTTTGTAAGGGAGAGACAAAGATATACTTTATAAGCTTATATTCTTGATTAATATTAACTTTTTATCAGTAAATAGTTATTATAATCATAAACTCAAGAAAGAAAGACATATTTGTAAATTTTAATTACTTCTCCAGGTCATCATAGGTATGTGTAAAATTTTAAATATATTTTAAGTGAACTAAGAAATATTGAGAAAAAGGGAAAAAACCTTGTTTAAAAAATTTTTTTTTTTTTAAACTCAAGAAATTTTCTGGAATTTTGACTTTGGCTCACAATCACCCCTGAACTGTAAGAGAGTTGCCTATGGCTTTTCTATGAAGATTTAAATCATGTTTTTTTTTTCTTTTAAGTTCTACTATAAAATATATGTTACTTTATACTGAACTAATCATTTTTAACTTACTATGAATTAATTCAAATAAAGTAAGACCTCTTATGTCTGAAGTAAGTTTGTTACATCAGACAGAGGGATACCTGCAAATGGCATAGTGCGGGTATCTCAATCATGATTGGTTGTTGATTCTTTCACCATATATTTACACAGAGACTTAACAGCAAAGACAGGTCCGAATCCATGTGGAACATAAACTAATTATTGATCGAAGTTGCCAGGGGCATTGAAATTTAAGTAGGAAAAAAAATAAGTATGCATGGAAAAAAAACACTTCAAAATCAATTTTGGTTAAGTATTCAAATCGAAGACTTTTTAGTGATAATCAAGGCTCTACTGTAATTGAAATAATTAATGTCAGGGAAAATGTGACTTTTTTCCAGTTTGCATATTAAATGTAACTTCAATTATCAATATTTGTGTCTTCAAAAAACATTTACTATATTTGCATTTTTATAGGCTCAGGCTGACAAAAGTCATTGTTGTTGGAGATGTTGCTGTTGGGAAAACTTGTCTTGTCCGGCGGTAATAATTGTTATGCTTTTTTTTATGTATATATATGTTGTTGTTTTTTTATGTTGCTGTTGTAAATGCAGATTATCAGAAAATGATCTTATTAATGATCCTTTTTAGAGTAATGTATTGAAAGCAGAAAAAAAATTCTTTTTAATGTACCTATTGCTTATTAGTTTTAATATATCCCTGTTTTTTTTCCTTTCTTTTTTTGTCAAAAGTTTTGCTTTTATATATATGTTTTTCTTTTTTTTTATGTTTCTGTTATAATTGTGAAGAATCAGAAGTTTTTAACCTAACTATGTTCCTTTTTAGAGATAATTCTAAAAATGCTTCTATAGCACAGAATAATTTTTTTTACGATTGTTCAATTTCTTATTAGCCTGTTCACTATTGCTCATGATTTATTCATAATTTTTTTATTCATTTTAAGGTTTTGTCTACAAGCGTTTGATACAAACTACAAAGCAACTATTGGGGTAGATTTTGAAGCAGAAAAATTTTATATATTAGGAGTTCCTTACATATTACAACTGTGAGTTTATTATCTTAAATAATTTTTAATGTTTAACCTTTAATTATTCAACTATTTATCATTTAGCTATTAATTATTAGTAGTAAGTGTTTTCACTAAGCTCTGAACTATATTGTATAGTAAGGAGTGATCAATTTTGTTGAATTCATTCATGAAAATTAAAGACTAATGCTCAGAAATAATGACGATAATTGAGTGATTTCAATGAAACGGCTTAACCCATTCATTTTCTCTTCCTCAGTTTGAAATCCAGCTGAAAGTGTCATCTTTACAAAGATGATGCTTTTTTTTTAGCAGCTGTGATTATCCTTTCCAAACTATAAAGGAGCAGTCCCTGTAGTTACTGTCGGTTTCAGAATGCAAATCACTAATGCTAGAGATTTTAAATAGGCAATGGGGCCACATTTGTTCATCACACTTTCAGTTGCTAGTTTATGAGTTAGGATGTTTACCTTTGTTAACGTTTTTCTTCTTTTGTATTTAATTTTTAAGGACTTGAAGAAAAATTAAATTAATTTAAAAACCTTATACTTCTTAGTAAAATTTATTATTAAAAAAATTATGCCAAAAAAACAGTCTTTTATATATATTAATTGTTTTGAATTGTTGCTAATGCTAGAGGTTTAAAATAGGCAATGGGACCACATTTGTTCATTGCACTTTCAGTTACTAGTTTATGAGTTAAAAGGTTTATGTGCTTTGGTACTAGTTTAGATAACAGAACATAGATAGTAATGTTATTTTGGTTTAGGATTAAACTAAAGATTCATCATTTAGTTGTTTTTTTGATTTACTTATTATTACATACATAAATTTTTACCATTATTTTTTTATTTTATACTTTTAAGTATTTTTATTTCTAAATTACAAAAATAAAGAGTTTTTTTCTCTTAGATAATCGAATGTTAATATGTAACATCATAAAAGTATAAGTTGAAACTAATATAAATGAGAAACACACATTATTTTTTACATTATTGAGTGTGTATGAATAAAAATGGTTTGGAAACTTTAAATAGCAATATCTCAAAACATTTTCATCCAAGAGTAAGACTTTTCTAAAATACTTTCAAACACAGTTGAATAGCTTTTGATCTATTCTTTTTTCCGAAGAACTCAAATGGGTAAACCTTATGAATGCAAGCTAGTGCAGACCATGTTTTTTGTTATAAAATCATATCATGCTTTCTTTGATTATATATTCCTTTTTTTTTAAATTACTGATTAAGAAAATCTGGAAAATAATATTTCGATAGTTCAGTCTGGAATGCTATTGAAAATTTGAGTTTCTTGATGCATTACCTGTACTTTTCACCCAATTTATCATATCTCTCAAGTTACATTTTTTAAAAAAACAATTGTAAAATTTGTTTACTCGAAAATAATTCTATGTAAAAAATATTTATAGTTATTTATAATCATTTATTATATAATAATCATCAACCTTTTTAATTGTAAGGTGTATAAAATTTTATGTAATTATATTAGTATTAACCCGTTTTCAAACATCACTGTACTTACCCTGGTCTCCAAAATGAATCTAATAAAAAAATCCATTACATTCAAGTCTAGTGAATAAGGTGAGCTTTCATCAATGCCTTTAGCACTGTGTACTGATAAGATTCCTGTCGGAAGACGGATTTTTAGTTTCCAAAGAATTTGTGTAACCAAGCAAAATATTTATAAACATCTATAGATATATTTGGTTTTAAACTTTGTTNGCTTTCATCGATGCCTTTAGCACTGTGTACTGAGCAGATTCCTGTCGGAAGACAGATTTTTAGTTTCCAAAGAATTTGTGTAACCAAGCAAAATATTTATAAACATCTATAGATATATTTGGTTTTAAACTTTGTTTAAGATATTTCTTGTTCCTCTATAGATGAATGAAATATAGAAAAATGTGTTTTATTTTAGCTTTGCTAGCTTTTTTTTCCTATTTGCTATTTAATTTTCAAGGATTACCTGTTGCGGAAAGCAATTAATTTAAAAATCTTATACTTCTTAGTAAGATTTATTATGAAAAAAAATTAGGCTAGAAACAATCTTATATATATATATAATAACAGGGCTACATCCTTGTTATCATTGTTGTATTCAGCTTGAATGATTCAGTCGTAAGCCATAATACGTTCTAAAAAGGTTTATTTAAAGGTAGATTGGTGGTTATAACAGTTCACATCCACACTCCACAAGGGAGAGGGTGTGGACAAAACACCGGATGGTTCCGGCAGATCTTTTATGGAACTTGTTAATCAGCAAGAGACATGTGAAAACCATTGCTCTCGCATTAAATACTTACAGATTTGGAGGTGAAAAGGCTCAGTCAGTGCATAGTTTGTAACTCTACGCATTATTGACAATCATTTAATGCTTCCTAATATGGAAGTGAATGAGAGACAAGATTCTAAAAATAACTCCTCCTTTGCAATATAAATCTAATTATAGTTCAATGTTTTCATACTTGAAGTCCCAAAATAGAATTTCTACACCTGTTCTTTACCAAAGACATTTTATGAAAACGAAAGAGTTTCAATGGTTTTATTAATACAAAAGTATTTATAATTTTTGTATTACATATATATATATATATATATATATTTANGCAAACTTTGATGTCTCTAAAACCCTTTTATGTCAAAAAAATACTTTTTCCCTTAGCATTGCATATCCACCTAGTATTAATTTGAATTCCTATGTTGAATACTTTTCGAAGTAAAAAACTTTTTTTTCTCGGAAAAATCATCACATACCACCACTCAACATTACTGTGTCTCAAGAAAAAATGCTGCCCACTTATTAAAATGTTTTATGAAATGCTCCGAGAACAATGAGCAATTTCAAAAACGATGTTGACAGGCCACGGTGGTAGAGTTTTTTTTAATGAACTCTATTAATGTAAGTTTATCGTAATTTAATTATTTTATATTTAATGCATTATTATTTTTGTGTTTCTTTAAAAAAAAAAATTTAAAGTTGTTTTTTTTTCATCATTACTGCATTTAGACTTATAGTCAACTATTATACAAATATGTTTATTAGTACTTATAGTCAACTATTATACAAATATGTTTATTAGTACTTATATTCTGATGTTCCACAACTCTAAGTTTTAGAATTACTTTTTTACTTTTTAGAACATATTTGGTTCAGAACTTGTGCTTGAAAACTCATTTTCTTGACTTCATTTTAGCGTCCCAACTTTGAGATATCGAGAGTATACTATATATATATTGTTGTTTTCTGTCTGTAGATTTATTTTTGATGTTATGATTTGTTGAGATTTCTTGTTTATTTTTAGGTGGGATACAGCTGGACAAGAAAAGTTTAAATGCATTGCATCTTCACATTACAAAGGAGCAAGAGGTTCTCATTACATAAATTTTTACTAACCTTTTTTTAAAAACAAAATATTATTTACATAAATTACTAGTTTTTATGTCTTTTTTTTTTGTTGAACATTTTCATATAATGAATATTTTCCATAAAGCACTAACATTCGCAGTAACCACTACAGAATTAATGTTAAAAATGAAATTATAAAAACTTACACATTAATAGATTGATGTTTAAGCATGAACTATATCTATAACTGATATCCAATTGATGAGCATTACCAATTTAGGGAATAATTCCAACAAAAGTTTGATTAAAATAATTAAAGCCAATATGTTTGTATCTAACAAATTGGTTTTTAATTTCATCTACCGTGATTTCTCTCCATACTGATACCACCAATACTGTTTTGTTTGGGTTTTTTTTTCCAAACTCTAATAGTTTATGGCTTTGATTGTGTTCTTTTTTATCATTCATTACTTGATCAAAGTTCTAAATAAATATATTAAAGATTGTGATAACAAAAGTAAATCAGACTTCATTGTAGAAATATATTGCATATCGTATTTGATTAATGTTACTTCAACTCTAACAGGGGTCTATCCAGGCCAAATTTACTACCGTTTAGCGCTAGTTTCACAAAATACTCTTTCTTGAAATTTTATTTTTGTATCTCGTAAGATAAATCCATATTTTTGCGTTGATTTTTTAATATAATTTTTAATTTTGACAAATTATGTCTACATTTTCACAAAATAGGTACATCTCAGAAAAACCTAGACAGACCTCTGTCTAAGATATTATGACGTATGGTGTGACGTAACTAATACCAAGATTATTAAACATTGATTCACTAGTATATAAGACATGCTAACTCGATTCTATCTTGGGGTACCTTTTGATAGATGAAGGCTGACATAGTCGATATTTATATCCCACACATGATATGTAAGATTTGATCGTAGATAATGTCACTCTTTTATGCAAATAAACATCTCAGCACACTTTGACCAGTCAAGAGGCCAGTTAACTTATGTTTAGTCTCTCAGTCACTCAAATGATTCCCATCAAGACTTTCCCGTGATAAAAATTGCTTTTGGTGGTTAGTGTTTATCAGAATGCCAAGTCTACCGGTTTACCCTCGCATTATTTGAAGGCCATGAAGAAGTCAGTAATGAAGCCATTCAATTTACATAACCTGAATGTTTAATATTGACTATTAAGAGATCCTAGGAAAGAGTAATATATGCTAATTCTAAATCATGGCCAAAAAGACGTGTTATGATGCAGTAACCGATAATTCTACCCCTGCTGACAGACTATGGGTTCACCCAGATGGGAGCAACAACAAAAAAACAAGAATGTAAACAAAATTTAGGAATTTGTCTGATAACGTTCTTGATTGGTGTTGTTGGTCAATGGAACATTACAAAGTCTTTTGCCAAGGTTCTAAAGAACATTCCTGAAAATGTCTACTGTGACGACTTTAGTGTCTTGAAATCTTACTTCAAGCCATGTATTTATCTAGGAGAAACATATTTTAGGTCCATTACTTGTTTTTATTTTAAATTTTTATTTTTCTGTTTGCCTAAATTCATTTACATTTATTCCCCCAAATTCATTTACATCATATACCTTTGTCAATTCAGTAAAATAAGAATATTCTGTGTATTTAATAAATGTTCCAGATACTGCTGCAAAATCTGCTTTTATAAGAAATTTTCCAATTTAGACAAAATTAAACTTTACAACTGAATTTGCCTTGGTAGAGTTTGCTGTATTTATTTATTATTCTAAAATCATGCTTAACAATATTTTGTTTTCTTATTTTGATGTATTTATTGCAGTTGTGATCTTAGTATTTGATTTCTGTGTCCTCTCATCGTTATATAACATACCCAAGTGGCTTGATGAAACTTTAAAGTGCACTAGCAAACCATTGTTGTTTTTAGTTGGTACCAAGAAAGATGCAGTTGTAAGTTTTAATATATTTTATCATGGTGTTTCTTAATTTAATTAATATTTTATTAATTTTTCTATTGAATTTTTAAATTGTAATCATACTATTTATTAAACAGAAACAAGAAGTTTCTGAGTGCTTGGTAATTTAAATTAACTTTTGTGGTTAGAGAAATTAATGAATAAAGAGTTAAAAATAGATTTTGATGTTCAATTAAGTCGTGGCAAGACTTAATAAATTATGCATTTGTTTTGAATTTTAAAAAAATTAGCCCTTGTATTAAATGTTTGGAAAAGAATTAAATATTTATATTCCCTTTTTATAAAATGTAGTAAAAACTAAATAATTAATTTAATTTAATGAAAACTGGATTAAGAATGATTAAAAAAAATATTAATTTAGGCAGTTAAAGAAATCTTTAAATGCTAGGAAATATGTAATGCCTATAAAGGCATCACAACTCTTGAAACATTATTTTTCAGTTCTATAATCATTAAAGGATTTTATATAATTAACTGAAGTAATACTAATAACATTTAAAAAAATTTTAATTTTAGTAAATTAATCTCAAAATTTTAGTAATAAATAGTATTTATTATAGGATTTCTGTATTACGACGTGAAAATATTGTTTTGTTCTTTTAGATAATTTATTTAAATTGCTTTTGAATAATTTGAATGGATGCATAGCAGCATTTTCAAACATTAAGAAATATTGACAGAATTTAATTATGTATTTATTTTTTCTTAGTTACTCTGCCACTTGGTTTAAGGTTATGTATGTGCATGCTTAACTTTTAAAATCACATTATTTAAGAGTTTTTTTTTTTTTGGAGCCCTTTCGTCAAAGGAAAATAAATAAAACCACAGTTTAAGTGCCTTACACTGGAGGCAAAGCTATAATTCTATATTTTCCATCTCTATCTTTGGTGGCTCTGTAGCCACAAGGTGACTAATTCACAAAACTGGCTGGAGTCACCAGTCTGCTATGAATCTTTTATACTGTTCTAAAAATTAATTTATTTCACTTGTTTCTTAAAATTTTTCTTCATTTGTAATGTTTGCCATATTTTGACTTTGTAATGTTGTAATGTTTGCCATATTTTGACTGCATACATTATTAAAAGTGNATTTTAGATATGAACCTTGTAATGTTTGCCATATTTTGACTGCATATATTATTAAAAGTGTAACTTTCAATTTCTGAAAAAGTGTCCACATAATTTATAAAGTGGCTATAACAATAACATTTACGAAAAAAACTTTTATTTTATGCGACAACGAGCTTTTGTAAAACAGATTTAAGATCTCAATCGCAAAACCAAAAAGCAAAGCTAAAAGTTGCTCAAGTAGCACTTTTAAACTTAATGTGTATTATATTTGACTTTATTAAAAATTAATCAATACCTATAACAGTCTATTACACCACTAAAGAGTAAGAAGAACAATAAAAAGTTCCAGCTTTGTATCAGAATTAAAATTGTGTTACAATTTATATTTTACAGTTATAACCATTGTACAAAAATTATTTGAAATGCAAAACTTCTTTTATAAGCATTTTCAGGTTTTATGTTTTAATGTTTGACTTTTAAATAACGTAATGTCTCTTTTAGCTATGAAATTTGATTTAGGTTAAAATTTGATATTTAGGGTTTCTTAATACCTGATTTTTTTTTCAGGCAAATTCTGCTTATAAATTGACAGAAAATGAGGCTATTAAAGTAGCAAACACAATTAATGCTGAATATTGGCCAGTATCTTCAAAAACAGGTTTATATTCTTCAGTTTTTTTTTTGCATTTCTTTTATTCTAATGTAATTCGTAACTTTTTTTATAATTATTTAGTTTATGAATACTATTCTATTTATTTTTATTATAACTTCATTATAATTTTCAGCCTTTTTAAGTGATTTTAAAAACAAAGCAAACTTAAAAAACTGAAAACAATCTAATATATATATATGTATAAGTGATTTTCTCAAAATGTAAACTTTTTGAGAAACTTGAAGGGAAAAAAATGACAATTTTGAATATTTTATCGCACGATTATCTTAATATTAATAATTTTTACATTAGGACCATACATTTAAGTATACAAATCAATGTCCAGCAATGAAGAACTCTAAAATTTAAAATTTTATGACTCTTATTGCATTATTAGGCAGTTATTGCATTATTAGACAGTTTTTAATTATTATTGCAAAAGTCTAATTATGGTCCCCTCACCTTTAAAAAAAACATAAAATATTTTTTTTTCTATGAATTAATAAATAATAAAGGGAAACATTTTAAATAATATTAAATATAAAATTTAAATAATATTTTTCAAAAAAAAAAATATTATATCTAGAATTTTGGAGGAACAATAAGATTTTTTACTTTTTATTGCAAAAACATTTTCGTATTACTTATATTTTTATATAACCTTAAGTAAGAACACATTTTGTAAGCAAACACATGATGATTTAAAGCCAAAATTTTTGTTTTTATTTTTAAAATGTGTTTTTTGTGTACAACAATAGTAATTATAAAAAGAAACAATGATGACTATAAATCAGAAAACACCATTTTTTTATTTTATTTAAAAAAGAAAAAAAAACAAAGTTCTTAACTTATATATGACCTCTGTAATAATTTAAAAACAATTTTGATAGTGTTTATTTTGCATTTTAAAATATATGTATAATGTATCTAAATTGTTTAGGGTTTGGAAAGTGGCCTTTGTGTCATTTTTTAAATGACACATAATTTCACTTCTTGTTTATTTTGTGCGTGCATTTTTTAGCCAAACAGGCAAGTGAAATGTCAGTTAACTCATTACTTAATGTCAGTACTTGGGTTGAAGTTTTAACCTTGATCTTCTTTTTTATCATCTATCTCTGAAATTAAGAAAGATCAACAAGTTATTAAAACTGAAATTGAAAGTTGCTATAATACTTGAGAATTGTTTTGTTTTTTTAAATTTTTTTTTTAGACAAGTAAGTCATTTTGAACAAACAACAGTTACAACAACAAAGAAACGCAATTGCGTACAATAAAGTTACCTGCAGATTTTTAAAGGTAAAATTATGCTTATTGACCCAAAAGGAATGGTACTGTGCTTAAGCTTTACTGTTCTGTAGAGAAAAATGTTCTTTGTAACATGGAAGTGATATTTTATTCATCTAGAACAATCTATGGTGTCACTTTTTGCACATTGACACTTTTCGCACTTAATAAACAGTAACTGCACAAAAGTTTTAGACATGTGCAAAATGATGTGGATATAACTTAGATTAGGTTAACTTAATATGCAGATTCTCATTAATTTATTTTAGCATACTTTCAATTCACAAGTCAATTATAACCAATTCTAGTATTTTTATACTTAAATATTTATTAAAGATTGTTTTTTAAATTATTGATTTGATATACAAATTGAGTCTTTGAAAATTTAGGTGAAAATATTGATGCCCTTTTCCAACGCATTGCTTCTGTTACGTTTTGTGAAGATATTTTGAAAGAGACAGCTGATGTAGATTTAGCTAAAATAAATGAAAATTTTGTGAGTAAGTAAGCATCAATTCTCTTTCCTTTTTTCTCAGAAGAAATGATCTGAATGAACAGTGAGTTTATAAAAAAATTTTTTAACCAATTTTCTAATCATATCGCAATAGTGATAACCGAAATCAAATTGTAATTTTTTACTTTGGATTGCTTACAATTTTATTTTTGTGGTATCAAAGGTACGATTTTGCTTGACTTTCTATGGAAACTTTCTCAAGTGGAGGCAAAATTTATGTTTTAACCCTTTTGGCGTCATATATGTTAAGGTTTAGTTTTTATAATCATAATTTCTATCAATAATAAAAAGGAGCAAAAATCTTCACTAACAATCCATTATAAGAGATGTAAAAATTTTGTAGCTGCTCTGTACTTTTTACTCTGTATCGTGTTATATATATATTTTTTTTTTTAGTTGCAGTTAGTGTTATTAGATTATCTAAACAAATTGTTAATGTCTGATTAAAAAAAATAATACCTTATATATTACAGTAAGTTTTGAAATTTTGCAGAAATATAACAAATTTACTGTTAGTTTTTTATTTTACAAGAAATTGACAAGCTTACACATGTGTACACCTAATGTTTTTAAATGCATTCAAGATAGTGTTTTTATACCTAATGTTCATCATTCAACTCATAAGTTACCATTAATGCTCATTTGCCACAAATGTTCGTGTTACATTGTTTTTTTAATTTTTATTGTATTGCCCCTTTTTTATTTTTTTAAATTCCTTTTAGTATGAAGTAAATAAATAAAACAAAAAAATTTTCCCTGAGGGGGTTAGTATTTATTTCTTGTTTCAGTAAATTTACTTCAATGTGATTTTGACTGCCACAGCATATAAATGATTGAAACATATATATAACAGTAGTTTCCGCTTAATTTGATTGCAGTTAAGATTATAATTTTTTTTAGTTCATTCTTATTATTTTATTTTTCATTTATTTTTATTTATTCTCTGTATTTAGAAGAAGCCTTTTCTTTCTCTGTGCTAATGCTTATGTTTGAATTGCCAAGAATTCTACTTCTTTTATGCTAGAATTCAATTTCTTTTTTGCCACTTCTTTAACTGCAGGTGAACTCTGGGGTGTGCGAATTTGCTGTTAATGAAATGTGATTTCTTTCATCTTTTGGAATAGCGAGTTTTATTCAAACTATGAACTAGCTTGCCATCATTTTAATACATTGCTCACTTTCATAGAGTTACAATATGAATGGCGGAAAGGGAACTAGTTTAACATGAAACAAAAGATTGACATTTTAAAACATTTAGTATGATAACTAACAATCTTGATGCAGTGCACCTCTTAGTAACTTCATGGGATCAAGTTTCTGCTGAAACGATATGAAACTGCTTTGCTTATGCAAGATTTAACAAAGAAAAAAAAAGAGCCAGAAAACTGAAAAAATTATAGAACATCCTTCAGATTTGACATCTCAAAAATTCCAGTTATGGATGAAAATTAGGTACTTGCACTTTAAGAAGAAGACCTCCCATACCCACACATGTGACCTATGACGTCAGTTATTATCATTGCCAGATAATCTCTTTCAACAAAATGACTTATTAAACTTTAGCTAAGTTTCTCTACATAATTTAGAATGTTAATTAATGATAAGCTAATCAAATACTGAGCCGTATCGCACATCGAATTAGTTGAAATTTAATCCTTTTCTACTTCTTTTACTTAAATTAGATTTATTATTTGTTTATGTATTTTATTGTGAACGTGATATATTTTTGCTTTGTGTAACTGGCAACTTCGATGCATAATGAGTTTGTTCATGTTGCACGTGACTTCGTGCCTGTCTTTGTGTTAAGTAAGAAATATATATTGAAAGAATCGAAATCTTTGTGAAAGAATATAGAATATGTCATTTAAGGGAACTGATAGGGAAGGGAATCGAGTTTGGCTTACTCAAAATAGGATGGAAGGAACAGTTGCTAACGTAAACAAATGCCACGTTTTAACAACCAACCAGGATCGAGATGGTTACACTACGTCATTTGCAGGTATCCTATTGATGAAAATGCTTTCATATTAATGGAATCAGAAGTTTACCAGATTGTTGTAGGAAAAAAGATGTTGTAACTGACAAACCAGAAGAAAATGCCCCCTTCTTCAAATGCTGAAATGAGGAATGCAATGAAAGTTTTGAAATGTTTAGTGCAATACAGCATCAATCTTTAAAAAGCATTGTGTGTATGAGTGAACTTATGAGAGAAAATTGTTGATAATCAATTTTAAATTATGTATCATTTATATATGTTAAAGTAGAAATGCTTTGCATAAATATAAAGTGAATTTTTCTCTCCAATTTATGTCATTTTGGTTTCCTTTTTATTGTTATCACTCTGTTAATATTATTAAAATCGTTGTCACAAATTTAACACATTAAGCAGAGACTACTGTATATAGAATGCCACTTTGTTCCAATTATCTTATCCTAAAGCTTTTATGGTATTTTTACAATTAATTAAATTTAGTGTTTATGTTATTATATTTAGTGTGTACCTCTTTCGAAATTTTTAACAGAAAGCAGAGCTGTTATTGAATCTGGTGTGCTGTACTTACTTTTTTTATTCTTAGCATTTGTGTTTATTTTTTTTTGTTTAACGTACCTAAGAACGATCTGATAGTTAATATAAAAATAAACCGCTTTTTTTAGCTTGGTCTTTATGTATAAATTTTTAAAAAAATTATATTTAGTGAATATAAATATTTTTCGAAACAAAAAAAAAGAATTATCCTTATTTTTAATGCAGCATTTGTTTGTTTTTTAATTATAACTAGGTAGTTTTATTTTTAACAAGTATTTAAGCTGCACTTTCTACAGCTTTTTGAGATTTTTCTTTCATATCACTAGTAACATGCATAGTTAAATATGTTCCCACTTTGCTTATTTGTACATTGCATGCAATGCCTTTATGCACATTCTATTAAACGGAAAGACTGCAAGCAAGGGCGGCGCCAGTAGGGGGGGGGGCAATTGCCTCCTGTCAGACATCGATAGCCTCCCTATCAGGACAAATTTAAAAATTTTTGGGAAAATGCTACCATCTTGAAAAGAAATATAATTACATTCTTAAATATATAAATTGTTTTTTTTTTATTTTCATTTATTTATTTATATTTTTTGTCGGTAAGAATAAATTAAAAACATTAACATGAGAATATTTTCTTACTTACACTTTACCACCACTTACTGCTCACTTTTCATCAGAAAATTCTGATAGACAAGTCTTTTGCTTGTGTCCATATGGAAAGTTATTTAACACCCCTGAGGGATAGGGCGAGACAAGAAGACTGTCCTAGCTCCTACTCCATTGTTCTCATATCACAATTTATGAGATTGACTATAATGCACACTTTCTCCGCATTGAGTAACGAAAAGTATTTTGTTAGACGTCACACCGTTTAACTCAAAGAATTCTGTCTTTAAATTATTTGGAAGGAGTGAAGGAGTAAGTTTGTTCTGTCAATCTTTTTCTGTTTTTAATTTGCTCTTAAATAGTGTATGTATACTAATAAATTCAATTATAATTGCTCATATATAAGTAAAAATATTAAAATAGAGTTGTAAATGAATCTGCACGTTATGATATCAAAATAATTGATTTTACTTTCTTAGAAACGCATTTGAAAAAAATGATGTGAAAAAAAATATGAAGTATAAAATGTGTTTTAATTCAAATATTTTGAATTATTTTATTTGAGCTCCCCTATCGGGGGTGGTTTGACCCTCTGTCTGGTGCCATGCTTGACTGCAGCTTACATATCTCATTTTAAATTGATCAAACTTCAGTATTTTTTATGTGAATATGTTACAATGTTTGACAATTTTAAAAAAAATGTCTTAAATTTTAACAAATGCAACAAAAATTTATTATTCATCTGTTTTAGCATTTTCTGTCTTTTTATATTTTGTGTAACATCTTACTATTTATAGAGATCAGCAAAGCAAGTCCGAAGAGAAAGAAAGGAAGATGTGTGTCAGGTTGCGGCTCTTGACTTGCAGAGAGAGAAGAGTTACCTCTTGGATTGCTTTTATTTTGTTGCGAGAGTTACGGGTTTCATTAAAAAAAAATTCAATTATCCTACTTAATAAATATGGTTTACATTACTTTCTATGCATTATTAATGTATTTTTTTTATTAGTAGTAAGGTGAGCTTAGTTATTAATTTCGCACAATATTTTTAGTTTTGTTCTTCTACAGTATTTGTTTTACAATATTTTAAACCAATAAAAACTACTTATTTATAGATGTTAATGTAATTATATTTAACAATATTTGCTTTTGATATGTATTTTTAATAATGAAGTCATAAAAATATTTTTAATAAAAATATGAAGTCATAAAACTTCACTTATTTTTCATTCAGAATCATCATAACCATTAAGAATTAAATCAGCCTTAAAGCTTCATCTTTAAATAAACTAGTGTTAGATTATTTTAATCCGTCCTTTACTATATTGTGATTAATTACAGCTTTAGTAATTTCTTGTTTTTCGTCAATTAAATATAGATTTTCACCCCCTGATTTTGATAATTTTATTTTTAATTTTAATCATATGAGCATTTTTAGAAATAGTGTCAATTAATTGTCTTCAAGTTTTTATGTTATCTACAAGCAAAATGATCTAAGCATAGCTGCCAACTGTACTGGATTTTCCAGTAGACTACTGTAATTTACCAGTTTCTCCTGATCTACTGGTTTAATTGAATTTCTCCTAAATTTTTGTGCATTTTAGAAAATTCCCTAAAATTGAGTGAGTTATCCAAAAAATCCCTATCGAAATAGAATTTTTAAACAGATTATTGCTTGAATATTTAAATAAGTATTACTAATGTGTAATGAAGTAAACCTCATTTATAGAAATCTGTTCAAAACTTTTTTTGTTCTTAAATATTCAGTTTATTTTAATACTAAAATCTCTTTCTTTTAAATAATTTTAAAACAATCTTTTAACTATCTTTGAATTAAATGCCTAATAATATTCAAAATTATAAGTAAACATAATGCATAACATTTCAAATATGTTTAATGTCAATTATAGTTGGAAAATATTGCAGTTTTTATATTTTGATGACTTTAAAAATCCCTAAAATTCCCTATGTGTAAAATATTTAGTAAATTATGCAACAATTATCATGAAGTTTATATTATTTCGTAAAATCTGCTGGATTTTTTCCTATTCATGTTGGCAGCTATGTATATGTTGTTGGAGTTGGTCTGCTAATTATAGCTTACAGGAAAACAAGGCTTGTAGTTTCTTATCCAACTCACCTTAGTTTTATAAAAATGCACGAGGAAAAAAAAATTTCAATTCAGACAAAAAATATAAGTAATATTTTGAAACTTTTTTGAAGGGATTGAGGTACATAATGAGGATGCACAGTCCTCATAAAATTACCTCTAAATTGTAGGCATAAGTACTTTTTAAAAAAGTAAAGTACTTGGACATAGTGCTCCACTTGCACATCAAAAGTTCGGACCAGACATTTAAAATCCTAAACTAGTGACAGAATTTCAATTTTAAAAACCATTTTCACAATGTGATATTTAAACAGAATTTGTAGTCTTTACTTCCTTTTATGTGTACACATTTTTTTTCGAAGGAAAATAGCTACATCCCACAAAAACGTAAAGGCTCAAAAGGGAGAATTTAGTGTTAGTGACTCAAGAAAATTATATTTTTATGTAATTTTACTTGGTTTTTGAAGTAAAATTATGCACTCAAAGCATGTAATTTTTATTTCAATTTACTTATTCTATAAATTTTAATGAACAATTTTATAATTTACAAATTGTCTTTTTTTTTCTAAAGAAAAAAATTATTTTTTGTAGTCACTGATACAAAAACGACACTATCTTTGAAACTGCCCATATATATTAAGTGCTTTCAGTACTTGATTGGTCTCTACACTTTTTTTTTTTAAAAAAATGTCTACCAGTTGTTGACAGTATTTTTTATTATCATTTTCCCAGAAGTTTCAACCTCTAAACAAAACCTTCTTAACCTATACATTATTTCATTACTTTTGTTATGTTTACATTGAAACCTACTTAGAGCTAAAAAAAATTGCCTTATTTTTTTTATACATTGTGTAAAAGTGTATTGTGCTATATATCATCTTTTATACATATTTATATATCTTTTATTCATAATAAGTAGTAAGCAATCAATTCCATATGTACATATAAACTTCCAATATTTCTTTATTATGTAATTACTTAAATATTCCATCAACTTATGTATTATCTAAATTTTAAGTTTAAAAAGTGTTTTACTAAGACCAAATATACAATTGTTGTAAATACAATACAATTGTTAAAGTAAAATGACCAAATTTTAAAATTCATTTATGAAATCCCATTGAATTTTTATTTCTTATATTATTTGGATATTAACTTACATGCCAATTTTTTATTATTGTATTATTGAAATTACTTTAGACAATGGCATTATAATTTTTTTTTCAATGGCTATTGTGCCTTAAAATATTTATGCATTTATTTAAATATCGCATTTATTGTCAGGTTGTATCACATTAATTAATGTTTAGTTATATTAAAAATGTTATTTTATTTCCACTCTTTTCTGCTATGGTACAAGTTTAAATAATTTTATTGTAATAAGTATTTTTTACTATGGTCAATCAACAGTGGTTTTTATATGTAAAAAACTGTTTGCTGTAAATAAAATGTACAATTGTAGCTTCCAAAATTTTGGAGTAAGCTAAACAACTTATGCCTGGTAGCAGAAACCCTACTGCACTGCAGAGGGCATTGCAGAATATTACAACATCTGCAGATTAATTTTCCCTTTGAAGTAAAAAGATTTTATTTCCACAATATTATCATCTGCAAGTTCGTACTTTTTATAAATATTTTTTTCTCCTGATTTCTTTATTGTACTTAATGTGTGCACCTGTTTGTTCTCATATTAAGCAGAGCTATTTATTTTTAATTACTACCCATCCTTTTAAAGCATTTCTAAACTTGCTTCTCATCAAATTTATAAAGCTGAATTGACATAAGACTTGACGGATAGTTTTTTAGCACAATTAAAGACTTTCCCCATCTAGCATAGGTATTTATTCCTTTTTTTGAATTATCAATTACAACAACATAATGTTTCTGTTAATTATTTTTAAGTGCCTTGTGTTTTCAAATTTTTGCTGTACTGTACACATTAAGCTAAATTTTAACAATAATCTGTGTCAGGCTGCTTTGACGTTGCAGATAAATTTGGATTTATCGAGATAGTGCTGTAGTTTGAGGCCCTAAATTCTGTTGCCAGGAGCTTATGTAACTTGGAATCTATATATGAGATTTTATCCACTGTTATATTTTCATAGACTCCTAAGTTTTATTCAATTCAAACTGTTTTAATTGAATAAATAGTCTTAATGAGATAAATGTGTATATTTTAAAACTTAAATAGGCACATAGAATTAAGTGCTTGAAATTGTTTGATATAAATAAAGGTTGGAGGCTTATAATATGGTTATCAAACTTAATATACATCATTTTTTTAATTGTTAAATGTCAGTAATATAAGGTAATTGTCAGTTAAAAATTCCTTTATACTATTTTGTAAATGTTTAGTGGGAATAAATCATACAATTCTATAAATGATATATTGTGTGTATATATATATATACCACTTATTTTCATTTTACTATGATTGTCGCCACTATTAAGTATGTCTTTCTTCTGATCACAATTATATTGATAATTTGTAATTATTTAACTATCTATCTTATTTTATGCATAATTTATTATGTAATGGAACAATATGCAATAACTTAGATGCTTTAAAATTTGAGATTCTTCAAAATCATCAACGCCCATTTATACAAGAATTCACCTTTTTTTTCTGTTGATTTGTGTTGTTCTTTTCATTTAGGAATGAAATGAATTTCTTTATTACTCTCCACAACCTTTATTACCATAACCAACATCACCTTACTTATCAGCACAATTTAAAACTTAGTAAATGTCCTATGGCATTTATTTTTTAATAATTTGACGAAGACTTAAAACAATTAAATTTTTCACATTTTTTATCCACTGTAACTTAAGCATACAAAAAAGTTTGGCTCAATAGTTATAATTCAATTATATTATTATGCATTATTTCACATGGTTAAACATAACTTTAAAAATAATTTTAAAAAATCGTTATTTCATTTTTATAAAAAAATTGTTTACAAAAAGAGATTGATTTGTATATTAGAATCTGTTCGTATAATAATAAAAATGTATTCTGAAACTCTGTAGTATTTTAAAATATTAAGAGTTTAGCTTTCATTTTATATCATTATTTTATTAGTAGTTCAAAATTTTGTATTAATAAGTAATTGTGTAAAAAATAAGACTTATAAATTATTCTAACTTTATGTTGAAGACCGATTTTCACTTTAAGCTTCTGGGCTGATCATATACTTATAAAATGAAATGTAAATCAGTATTATTTTCGTTGCATATTTGTATTTTCAAATCTACTTAATTTAGTTTATTATCTCTTATTTTATGTCATACAATTTTTAGGCATCTAAATGTATTTCTCAGTGATAACATTCTTGAAAGAAAATATTTTTCTAGTCAATGCATTTCATATATATTTTAAAAAATATTTTTCATATTTGTTTTATAAAGATTTATTGAATCAAAATTCAAATATAATATTTATCATGCTTTGTATGAATATACTAGTCTCTTTTGTAGTTTGAAATATTTTTGAATAATTATTGCAATGTCACTTGCCCACTATATATTCATATTTCTACTGTTGCAATATTTTTTATGCAAGTTGCATTTATTCTGTGTACTGTAGTTATAATAATACTTTTTTTTTAAAATCTTTTTTACATGTCTATACCCTTATTGTTATCACATGAATGATGTTTATAAAAGTAGTGTTGTGATTTTGAAAACGAAATAAAATTTTTATAGATATTTATAAAAATTATTTCTCACTTTTTACAAAACTTTTTATGTCAAGTAACATAAGGTTATTGCGTTCACCTATCTAAACTCACTCTTTCGTGATTTCTTATAGCCATTTTGTTGTTGTCGACCATTAAAGCAAAGGGTTCGCGAGCTCTTGTTTTCCAGTGGCGCCATCTATCTCCAAGAATTTGACTTCTGCCACACCCATACATCACACCCGTTTATAGAGTGGTACCATTCATACATCTATTCCTTCATCACTCGTAATTTTGACCTGAACCAGAGAATGATCAATCTCCAATTCAGCACCGCCAAGGGTATAATATGTTATGAGAACATGGAGGACTTTGTGATCCGACAGATTTAACGTGCACCCAACACCATTTACTACACAAGGAGTCGTCCAGCACCCTGAAAACTAGGTTATCCTGGCTTTTATAGCCATTTTAGGCATTTAAAGATAAAAAATATGAAAATTTCTTGACTTATTTTCAGAAAATATGATGCCAATATTTTAATATGAATCAAGTTTCAAACAAATAACCCTTGGCCAAAATATATTAAAAAAAATCACAATATGATTACTCTTTCATTTGTGCTACATATGCTCATGCTTTTTAGGCTTAATAATATTTAAAAACTGATATAAAAATATCTAAATTTGGATATTTTCAAAAATATGACTCCCATATTTTAATCAAGAAGTAAGTAACAAATAAATCCCATGTTGCAAAAATTATGAACAAAATGTTTAACTTTACGTTATTACTCCCTAAGTCAGCAAAAATGTGAACAAATCTCAAAATGCCCAG